ACGCCGTTTGATTCTGCCTCCGGGGCCTCTAATTGCTATTCCTGACACACACTGTAATTAGAAGGCCCCTTTCAAATATTTATACCTTAGACATCGCGTATTTATCTGACAGGGAGAGGACTTGGATTTGATGAGATCTGTCAGCAGCTCATCCCTGGGCAGGGAGTTGCCTTACGGCTGACAGAAAACAGGACAATCATCCGCCTGCTCCCTGGCAGTCCCGAGGGGTGCTGCCTTGCTGCTGATAGCAGAGGGCAGGGTGGGGTGGGGGGCTGTATGAATGTTTTTTGGGAGGGAGGACTGAGTTCAACAGGTTTGTGTTGGGCAAGTCAGCCAAAGCAGGAAAGACGAGGGGAGGACAGACCTTGCCTTGTCAGCTCTGGACCTCATTTGCCCCATCTGGGAAATGGGCTAATAGTGGAGGGGAGACAGAGAACCTCTCATTCCATGAAGAGACCTGGCAGGTGTCAAATGTCACCCCAAGCCAGGACATATCATGGTGTCCAAGCAGAAATGAGCTGTGGGGTGTCCCTCCCCTCTCTGTGCCTCAGTTTCCCCATCAGGAACAAATTCACTCCCTCCTTGGCGATCCTTCCTCAGGCTCTCTGGGGTTTTCCTACCAGAAGCACCATTTTTCAAATCAGGAAAGCAAAGTGCAGTCCCTATAGACATTGCCCTGGTCCCACTATTCTTGGGGAGGGGGGCAGCTCACACCAATGTCACCTCTGACTTGTGTCCTTCCTCCCCTCCAAGCCATAGGCACCTGCCTACCCTAGGGGGCTTGGAGAAGAAAATCTGAGGGCCCATCCTTTCTGACCACCCCTCTCTTACTGCACTATTAGGGGGAACTGAGCAAGCCCCTTTATGGGAAAAGAAAAAATGTGTTTGCTCTAGAACCGGCCAGCAGCTCCCTTTGCCTCTCTCACTGCCCCCTAACCCCTTAGCGTCCTCACCCCCAGACAGCTGCAGCTGCCTACAGGCAGCCAGGCCAGGCAAGAGGGAGACCTCTCTCATTTGTACCCCTCCCTGCCTCCACCCCCAGAAACCACAAAAGGACAGATGCTGAAGACACGCAGGCACAGATACCATCTCCCTTCCCATGGCCAGCTGCCCCAGCCCCCTTCCCCCATCCTGCACTTAGTCCCCTGGGAAGAGGGGACGGAGAAGAGCCCTCTTGGGGGAGGGGAAGGCAGAAACCCGTCGCTTCTGTCGTCTGCCCTCTTCCTTCAGCTGGCTGCGTCGATATCCATTTTAGCCAGTGACCTCTGGAACAATTTCCACACTCCCAGTCCCCTGGTCAGTTTCACCTCAGATCCTTGGTCGATTTCAGTCCTCAGCAGTGGCGACTCTCACCCCCTCTGCCGGTCAATTTCACCTTTTCTGGCGGTCAAGTCCAGCCCCCCATTTCCCAGCCAATTTCCACCTCCACTCCCTCTCCCACCTCCCCACCTCAGCACCTCTCGCTCTCCCGAGCAAGATCAGCCTCTGTTGGTTCCCACCTCCCGCGCTTCTCTCTCGCTCCTGCCAGCCTGGGTCCTTCGGGTCACTGTCCAGTCGCCGCGGCCTCAGCCCCCCGCGACTCCCGCCCCGCATCCCTCCTCCCCCCACCGGCAGTGGCCCCGCTCCCTCCCCAGAACAGCTGAAGGTCTCAGTCACCTCCGAGGGGAGCGC